AAGAGTTTGAGGTAGCAACATGACTGATCTTGAAACAGAAACAGAGCTGGTAATATACACAAGACTAGATCAGTATCTCTTGTCTATCAGAAGCAGAAACCTCAGCATCAAAGAACTAAAAATATGATTACATGAGTATAACAACATCTAAGTTAATGTTGAGGTTGGCTTTGATCCTGCAGTATGTTGCTCAGAGGTGAATGTGAGAGGCTTTGGCCTCATCCTTTTGGCTGAGGTCCTTTAGGCTGTCCAAAAGAGCCACACTTACCATGCATGGACAGCATGCCCACAGGAGAGATGGCAGCTTTTCACTTTCCATATTCATGTATTCCAGAGCCTGCTCATGCAATTAATCATGTAGCCTACTGCACCTTGTTTATAACACATTGCATTATAGATGTTGTGTCTTTTGAATGTAACCTCCACCATTTTACATACTCTGGGCGCTTTGGAGTGAGATACAATGCACTGGTCTTCAGAAGTGCTTAGCAAAAAGTTGCGGTAATCAGGTTTTCTAAAGCACTGGGACTGGGTGGCTGATGGAAACTTCCTAAGCTTAGGTTGGTATCCAAAAGGTTATTTTCCAAGACACTAAGGCCTCAGAGAAAGCTAAGATACCCAAGTCCTGCTGCATGGTTTTGGAATGCTGTTCCGAAACTAAGTAGAAGCAAATTATCTTGCAACTAATTTGTCCTTGTTTAGCTGCTGTTTGACTAACCTGCTCAAACTCAAAAATCTGCAAGTCAGTGAGAGTATTGACAGACCTCCCAAAAAAAGCTCAGCAAGCTGGTGCTTTGTACAGAGGATATACACGCATATTGTGAATCTAATGTAACTTGTGGTTAAAGTTCATGTTCGTATTTCTGGCTGTGAAATACACGACATTTATGACCAAATTTCTTGAGAAAACAAGGTAGAAGATACGAAATCTTCCTTCTTTTTTTTTGTTATCACCCTCCTCTCACTGTATTTTTACTTTAAGCTGTGGCTTGCTTTTCAAACAAAGTATAAAAACCAAATCTCACAGGAAACAGATGATTTTACCCCAGATTTTAGCCCTTCAGAAAAATGGTACATCTTTGCTTTTGCAAAGAAGTTTCCTTTATTTCACTTCACTTGTTACTCCATAGTTAAATAGCGAGCTTTGAGTCTGTAGTCAGATTTAAGCTGCTCATTTCAAGTCCAGGCAGAATGCAAGTCCCAGTAGAGGAAGTATTTTATCCTTCACCGAAATCTAAATCTAGTTTAGCTCCCAGAATTACAAAATTTCTACAAGGAAAATTCATCCTGAAATTTGTTTAAATTGTTGGAAGTTACAAGATTTGGTAAGGTGGGATATATTGAATATATTTTTTTAAAAACGTGTGTTCAATTGTATAATAAAGAATAAATTAGAAATCAAAAAAATAAATGTTTTACTCTGAATGAAAATATTGAAATGGATCAGCAGGAGAGACAGTACTTTTCTTCATTGCTTGAGATATCAACAAACTTATTTCACAAACCATTTTGATATACTGACAAACATTTTCAGGTCTTGATGGAAACTTGTGTATTTGTTTGAAATGATTAAATCTGTTTAATATTTTCTAACTTTCAGTTTTCTACTTAAACTAATCTGATTTTTGAAGAAAAGAATCAAAAGTCTCAACTTAGTAATTTTTACATTAAGGTTATAGGCATAACGGATGTATTAAAAAAAAAAAGGTTACCCTAAATACTTCCCAAGAAATGGAATCCCTCCTTGTTCCCAAATAAATTAATGGTTAATTGCACTTGCATGAAAGAGTACACCTTTCAGCAGATTTAATTGCTACCTGTAACAGTTCGATCTCTTCCTCACAGAACACAGTTTATCATGTCAAATGTTATCTTTCTTTGCAGGGAAAATATTTGACCATGTAGGGTCAAATTGATTTCTGATTTAAATCAGGAAAGAATTACAAAAGGCATTACACCAGTGAAGGTATTACTGCTGCTATTAGTAGCAACAGGAGTAGTTTAGCACCAGTAGCAGCAGATGCCCCTGTAAAGCCTTGTCTAAACTGTGTCCTCAGCTCCTTGCACCCATCCCACTGGCGCCAAGATGATGCAGGTCTCAGTCGCTGTGGGCTGACAGCTCAGCCAGTGTCTGGGTGAAGCCCTCCTGTGTGGCTGCGGGCAGGGCTCCCCTGCCCTCCGCTGTAATCCCCTCATCCGCCTAATGCTTCTTGCTGGTACTTTTATCAGCTTCTCCAGCATCATCTGCTGCCCTGGCAAGCAATGACCTAAAATGTGTTAATCCTGTTTACATTTTCAAGGTCAAAGAGGAGCCTCCATCCACTTTGCTTGTTTTACAAAGAAAAGAAGACCAAGTAGCTAGTGGATGAGAAAGAAAATGTACGTTTAGTCACTTTATTAGTGCCCTGTAACTAGTTGTGATAATCTGAGTAGTTCTTATGTGAAAAAAAGATCCTAAATGCTTTTGTGGAGATTTCTTTGCCTTGCATGTTTTAGCGAAAAAGACAGACAAGCCTGGAATTGAGATTTATTTAAAATCTGAATTTAGGTCAGCTAGGAGAATAAGAAATTTCTATTTAGAAAACATGCAGAAATGAAAAGCTTCTGTCTCTTCCCATTACACTACAGGATTTTCTACAGGAAAAAATAAATTAAAAAAAAAAAAAGTTCAGCTGTTTGAGACAGTAAAAATATTTTAATTTCTATTTTTCATTCTGAGTAGAAAAAGTTGAAGACCACCCCTGAACCCCCCTCATATTTAAGAAGACAAGACTGAAAGCAAACTCCGGCTCTTTTGTCTCTTAAAAGGAGCCTTAAATATTATGCAGTAACAACTAAACCACTTGAACAGGATACTGAGTATTATAAATATCTGTAGTGTGCAGATTTAGAAGTTGCTTCACAAGTTTTCATTCTGAGTAGAAAAAGTTGAAGACCACCCCTGAACCCCCCTCATATTTAAGAAGACAAGACTGAAAGCAAACTCCGGCTCTTTTGTCTCTTAAAAGGAGCCTTAAATATTATGCAGTAACAACTAAACCACTTGAACAGGATACTGAGTATTATAAATATCTGTAGTGTGCAGATTTAGAAGTTGCTTCACAAGAAAACCCCCCCCCCTTTTTCTTTTTAGCTTTCGACCCTTATACTCAGTTCTACTTAGTTCCTTCTTTTAGCACATACATGTTCAAGTTCCACATAAGTAAAGTAAGTTTGCTGTCTTAATCTTTTGGACATCAGAAGAAAGATACGATGCACACGAAACAGGAACTGATAAAATTAAACTGCTGTTAAATATTGCAGAATCATCAGAAATAACTATCTTATCAACATATGGAAGTCCTATCATTTTTCTCCAAGAAAGCAGTTTCACATAAGATAAATAGCTTTCAGTCATTATTGTCTATGATATGTCCAGAGGAGCCCAAGACATGCATCATTTTGACACATATATTCTAATACTACTTTAGGTGATGGGATTATATTCAGACACCTGAAAAAATGTGAGGCCTTTAGCCTTGTTAATAGATGTGTGATGCATCTTCCTCACTATTTAGATCTTGGAAATGAATATTTGTTATTCATTGACATAGATCTGCATGACATGCAGGGATAGATCTCTTTTTTCCTTCACCAGCTTTTTACCCTTTTTTAATGAGTTTAAAGTCCTGATTAGGAAAGCACTTTAAGCTTGGGTTTAAGGCAGTTCAGCTCAAGAATGTACAGAGGTCACACTGACTCCTGCATGGTCCTGTCAGTTCAAACCAGACGAGTGGGCTTGGGTTTAAGGCAGTTCAGCTCAAGAATGTACAGAGGTCACACTGACTCCTGCATGGTAAAGCAGCTCACCCAGCAGCCAGCCATACTTCATGAGTGTGCTGTCTGAGAGTCTGCCTTTATGAGTTTTGCCCAGAAGGAGAACTGGACTAAGAGTATGATGCTTTAGGCTGAGCCACTTGCGTGACTTCCTGCAAGGTGCAATGGTGACGTGCTGAGCAGCAGCGTACAGTAACTAAATAGAATAAAACGCATCTTCAAGGCTGAAGTTAGACCTCCTAGCTACGCATGAAGGCCATGTATCACCTGCAGTGCCTGTACCAGTTAGAACATCTAAGTGTTAAAATGAAGTGAAAACTCACAAAGCATTAAATTCAGAAAGGATCATTTTTAAGCAACAATGGTGATACTTCTTGAAAAAGAAGCAGACAAACCTGCAGTGGTTCTGAATGCACATGCAATACTTTGGGGGCTTGAAGGTGTAAACTTTTTGTGGATATTTACAGACATGCAACTTAAAAAAATTGCACTTGCTGAAGTAAGTGGCATAGCTTTTCTGTAGAGATACTGAACTGATGTGAGAGGAGGGTCTATGATGAAGGCAGAAATGAGAAGCTTCTTTTTTCTCCAAAATCTGGAAGCAAACAGATGTGCTTGAAAAAAGGTGAAAAATGCTAATACTCATGCAAGGATGAGCTTCCTTGGGAAATCTGGAAGTATTATGTCCAGGTAGTCTTTGAGCACTATTTGACCTTGACATGACATTTTGTAATCCCATATACATAAAGGGACTGCCCAGTGTAAATCGTACTCCTGATGCTAGGCCCTCACATAAGGAATGCAACCGAGAACTGAAAGACATGTCCTCACCTATGCAGTGTCTTGCGATCCAAGTAACATAAATAAGGAACAAACCTTATCTGATACTGGCAGTGGGATGAAGAATATAATCTAGCACTTAGATATGAAAAGGAATCTAAGGAAGTGAAATTTGGGAGATAAGCATAAAATATTATTCCCCAAATTGCACATATGCACAATTTTTTTAATATAAAATGAACTGTATGCACATATCCAATGAAGTCTAATTCTTCTTTAACTCAGCATAGCTTCAGACTAATATAATCCACTGGACTTCAGGAATGAACCGCTTCCCTTACATCATCAAAGTGAGAAGGGCGATTTTGCACACACAAAAACACGTGTCCTGGGAAACAGTCAAGAAAGAAGTTCCAAACTTCTTTTATTGCTTTATTCATTAACTATCCAGCAACTGCTTCACTTTAAAAATAGCATCCTACAAAAGCACAGACATCCATCTCCTGCCTAGAAGCCATCTCAGAGAAGAATGGAAAGCTATTAAGAAATGCTTTATGAAAAAGAGCTTTTTTTCCCTCTTCAGCCATGAATTCATGGAAACCAATCATTTTGACCCCAGTAGATGGGTCTTATCAACTTACAGAAAATCTAAAAAGAGATCTGGGAAGACTCTGGGGGGAAGGTCATGAGGAGCTTACAAGACCTTGCAGTTCTGGGATAGCCTCGCTATGTGAAGTGCTTGAATATAGTGAATTTGGCCTGGACTCCCAGGAAAGGTAGAAAGAAGATAGTGCAGTACCAGGAAGCAAAATCTGCTTAATATCACCATGTGGTAGTATTTGCTAAATAAAATTTATTTTTTAATTTCTGGTATAAGATGGGTAAAAGTTTTCCTTTCAAAATTAATTCAGGTCTAAATCAAATGCAAGATGAAAAAATAGTCACTGCCATAAATCCTACATTTTGGACATCTTTAAGAAGCATATAATCTGGAAACTATTGCTGCAGGTCTTTTGGTTAGACAACTCAGTAACTGTTTATTCTGCAACATGAATTAGTCACAAGTGTGCAGTACAAAGAAATCAGTTAGTATAACATCCAATATATGGCAAGAAGAAGTCAAGGAAAGAAGAACTTAAAAGCCCTGTAAAAACATCTAGACATTTCACAATATCAGATATCACATTAAAGAAACATTAAATCTTGTTTTACTACATTTATAATAGAATCTAGTAAAACGAGGCAATGTTCCAGCATGCTTGGCTGTTCTGAATAATAGCAGAGCCACAAAAACTCAGAAACCCTTGTATTTCAACTCTGGACCATACATGAGACTCCATCCATTAATCAAACACGTGCTTTGTGGAAGCACAAATGTAATGCAAAGACATGGAAGTCTTCCAAACTCTGTGAAAAAGATGGGCTTAGAACAGTAAATGCCATCTATGGCCTTAGTGTATTTTTTTTCACAAACCTTATAAAAAGAGTGAACTTTTACCTGGAAAAGTGCTGAACTTAACTCATATCTAGAATACTCCTGGCCAGTAAACAGACTACCTCGTGGCTGTGGGTAATTCTGCCGCTCACTTCTAAGCAGTGCAGAAAATCAATTTTAATTAAAAAATCATTTATGCTGAACTGAGTCATGCCCATTTAAGAAAAAAAAACCCCACCCCTGACCTAGGAAAGTTCAGATGCAAAATTCACTTTCAAAGTTGCACCCAGCTCTTTCAACCCAATTTTCCAATTGTATTGACAGAAGGACAGAGGCCAGATGATTGAGATGAAGTCAAACTCATGCTGAGCTCATCCCCAAGATCATCTTGACTCCCCGTCTTTCATTGTAATGACTTAACAGAAAGGTTCTATCAATTTTAGTCTTTAGAATCTTCATTTTTAGAGCAGTTGTTAAATTCTATTCTGTCCCCACTAGTAATGTTACAAATGCTATGAACCTTTGGCAACCAGACAAGGCAAGGATTTGAATTAGTCCTGATTCAAGACAGTATCCCAAATCAGGAAAGTATTTATGTGTGGCTTATCTCAAAATATACATGACTCCTGTGAAACTCCACTAGACTTAAATGAATGCTTATAGTTGGCATGGTATATAAAGATGTCTTGGTTGACATGAATGCTTATAGTTGGCCTGGTATATAAAGATGTCTTGGTTCTGCTTCCCGTGAGTATTCATAAATTCTGGGAATATTATTTTGTTGAATTTGAATACTAGAAATATTGATTATGCCTATCTAAGGTAGATGTGAAGCAAACACTCATTTAATCTCTTGATCTAAGAATACAGTGTCATCACTGATTTCAAAGCATGGGCCATTTCATAAGATTTAATGTTATTATTTCCAGAACCATTACAAGAATTTAAACTGTTAGACTACCATACAGAAAACACCAGGGACGTTGTTTTGCCTGAAGAACTCTTTTAATCCCATACTGCCAATTAGGAAGAACCCTATTTGGATAATTAAGGTAAATTTATTAATTTTCAGGGTAAGGGACATATAAGGACCTTGTTAGGTTTGGTTCTTGAACAGGTATATGCAGGATATTAAATGTTAAGGCACTTCCAGAAAAAAGAAAAGCTTGGTGTCATCTTCTAAAAAGGTTAGGTGTCCAAGGCTGCTTGCTATGCTTTTTGTTACACAAGGAGTATAAATAGTAAACCATATCCTCACTACTTCAAAATAGTTTGACACTCATGTGGTCTGTTAAAAAACATGTTTTTGTTTTGGTTTTCACACAGATGCAAGACTGCAGAATTACAGTCTAGCATTTTGAATTAACTTCTTTTGGTTAAAATATTAATATAGAGAAACTAACACAATAAAATGTGCAGAAGGTGCAACAAGACTAGTTAAGAAGAAATATGCACAAGTATACCTATACTCAGTTTAAGGGCAAATTAGGGAATTTGTCCTTATTATTGCCAAATTATTTTCAGCTGATTTCCAGCTAGACCCCTGCAATGCAATTCTTGGAAAATACAACTCTTTTTTTCCTGCATTCACTCTTTTAATCACTACTTTTACACAGACATAGTCCTTTACACTCAGAGTCCTTTTCTAGCCTGTAATCTCACAAAGCTATAGACCAG